AAAACCCTAATGCATGAGAAATGGCAACTAAACACCCAAATTACATACCTGCCATCATACGAGAGGGTCCGAATAAGTGTCTGAGTGTTTAAACCCTAATGCATGAGAAATGGAAAATAAACACCATAATTACATATCTGCCGTGATGCAGGACGGTCCGAATAAGTGTCCGAGGGTTTTGAACCCTAATCCATTAGAAATGGAAAATAAACACCCTAATTACATATCTGCCATCATGTAAGAGGATCCGAATAAGTGTCCGAGTGTTTAAACCCTAATGCATGAGAAATGGCAAGTAAACACCATAATTACATAATTGCCATCGTACAAGACGGTCCGAACAAGTGTCCCCGTGCTGAAATCCTAATGCATGAGAAATGGAAAATAAAAACCACAATTACGTACCTGCCATCATGCAAGAGTGTCCCAATAAGTGTCCGAGTGTTTAAGCCCTAATGCATGAGAAATGGCAAGTAAACACCATAATTACATATCTGCCATCATGCAGGAGGGTCCGAACAAGTGTTCTAGTATTTAAACCCTGATGCATGAGAAATGGCAAATAAACACCATAACTACATATCTGCCGTTATGCAAGAGGGTCGAAATAAGTGTCCGAGTGTTTTGAACCCTAATGCATTAGGAATGGCAAGTAAACACCATAATTACATATCTGCCATCATCCCGGAGGGTCTGAATAAGTGTCCGAGTGTTTAAACCCTAATGCATGAGAAATGGAAAGTAAACACCATAATTACATATCTTCCATCACGCAAGAGGATCCGAATAAGTAACCGAATTTTTGAATCCTAATACTCGAGAAATGGCAAGTAAACAACAAAACCACATATCTGCCATCATGCAAGAGCGTCCGAATAAGGGTCTGAGTGTTTAAGCCCTAATGCATGAGAAATGGCTAGTAAACACCATAATTACATATCTGCCATCATGCAGGAGGGTCTGAATAAGTGTTCTAGTATTTAAACCCTAATGCATGAGAAATGGCAAATAAACACCATAATTACATATCTGCCATCATCCAGGAGAGTCTGAATAAGTGTCCGAGTGTTTAAACCCTAATGCATGGGAAATGGCAAGTAAACACCATAATTACATATCAGCCGTCACGCAAGAGGATCCGAATAAGTGACCGAATTTTTGAATCCCAGTACTCGAGAAATGGCAAGAAAACACCATAATTTCATATCTACCATCATGCAAGAGGGTCGGAAAAATTGTCCGAGTGTTTAAGCCTTAATGCATGAGAAATGGCAAGTGAACACCATAATTACATATCTGCCGTCATGCAAGAGGTTCCGAATAAGTGTCCGAGTATTTAAACCCAAATGCATGAGAAATAGCAAATAAACACCATAATTACATATCTGCCATCATGCAAGAGGCTCCGAATAAGTGTCCGAGTGTTTAAACCCTAATGCGTGAGAAATGGAAAGTCAACACCATAATTACATATCTGCCATCCTGCAAAAGGGTCCGAATAAGTGTCCGAGTGTTTAAACCCTAATGCATGAGAAATGGCAAATAAACGCCATAATTACATATCTGTCATCATGCAAGAGGGTACGAATAAGTGTCTGAGTGTTTAAACCCTAATGCATGGGAAATGGAAAATAAACACCATAATTACATATTTGCCATCATGCAAGAGGGTCCGAATAAGTGTCCGAGTGTTTAAACCCTAATGCTTGAGAAAAGGCAAATAAACACCATAATTACATATCTGCCATCATGCAAGAGGGTTCGAATAAGTGTCTGAGTGTTTAAACCCTAATACATGAGAAATGGCAATTAAACCCCACAGTTACATATTTGCCGTCATGCAAGAGGGTCCGAACAAGTGTCCGAGTGTTGAAACCCTAATGCATGAGAAATGGTAAATGAACACCATAATTACAAATCTGTCATCGTGCAAGATGGTCCGAATAAGTGTCCAAGAGTTTAAATCCTAATGCATGAGAAATGGCAAGTCAACACCATAATTACATATCTGCCATCATGCAAGAGGGTCCGAAAAAGTGTCCGAGTATTTAAACCCTAATGCATGATAAATGGAAAATAAATACCATAATTGCATATTTGTTATCATGCACGAGGGTCCGAATAAGTGTCTTAGTTTTTAAACCCTATTGCATGAGAAATGGCAAGTAAACACCATAATTACATCTCTACCATCATGGAAGAGGTTCCGAATAAGAGTCCGAGTGTTTAAAGCCTAATGCATGAGAAATGGCAAGTAAAAACCATAATTACATATCTACCATCATGCAAGAGGGCCCGAAAAAGTGTCCCTGTATTTAAACCCTAGTGCATGAGAAATGGCAAATAAATACCAAAATTACATATCTGTCATCATGCAAGAGGGTCCAAAAAAGTGTTTGAGTTTTTAAACCCTAATGCATGAGAAATGGGAAGTAAACACCATAATTACATATCTGCCATCATGCAACAGGGTCCGAATAAGTGTCCGAGTGTTTAAACCCTAATGAATGAGAAATGGCAACTAAACACCCTAATTACATATCTGCCATCATGCAAGAGGGTCTGAATAAGTGTCTGAGTATTTAAACCCTAATGCATGAGAAATGGCAAATAAACACCATAATTACAAATCTGACATCATGCAAGAGGTTCCGAATAACAGTCCGAGTGTTTAAACCGTAATGCATGAGAAATGGCAAGTAAACACCATAATTACATATCTGCCATCATGCAAGAGGGTCCGAAAAAGTGTCCCAGTTTTAAACCCTAACGCATGAGAAATGGCAAATAAATACCATAATTACATATCTGTCATCATGCACGAGGGTCCGAATAAGTGCCTGAGTTTTTAAACCCTAATGCATGAGAAATGGGAAGTAAACACCATAATTACATATCTGCCATCATGCAAGAGGGTCTGAATAAGTGTCCTAGTGTTTAAGCCCTAATGCACGAGAAATGGCAAGTAAATACCATAATTGCATATCTGCCATCATGCAAGAGGGTCCGAATAAGTGTCCGAGTTTTTAAACCATAATGCATGAGAAATGGAAAATAAACACCATAATTACATATCTGCCATCATGCCAGAGGGTCCGAATAAGTGTCCGAGTGTTTTGAGCCCTACTGCATTAGGAATGGCAAGTAAACCCCATAATTACACATCTGCCATAATGCAGGAGGATCTTAATAAATGTCCGAATGTTTATACCATATTGCATGGGAAATGGCAAGTAAACACCATAATTACATATCTGCCATCATGCAAGAGGGTCCGAATAAGTGTCTGTGTGTTTAAGCCCTAATGCATTAGAAATGGCAAATAAACACCATAATTACATATCTGCCATCATGTAAGCGGGCCCGAATAAGTGTCCGAGTGTTTAAACCCTAATGCATTAGAAATGGCCAGTAAACACCATAATTACATATTTGCCATCATGCAAGAGGGTCCGAACAAGTGTCCGAGTGTTGAAACCCTAATGCATGAGAAATGGCAAATAAAGATCATAATTACATATTTGCCCTCATGCAAGAGGGTCCGAATAAGGGTCCGAGTGTTTAAGCCTTAATGCATGAGAAATGGCAAGTAAACACCATAATTACATGTCTGCCATCATGCAAGAGGGACCGAATAAGTGTCCGTGTATTTGAGCCTTAATGCATGAGAAATGGGAAGTAAACACCATAATTACATGTCTGCCATCAGCAAGAGGGACCGAATAAGTGTCCGAGTATTTAAACCCTAATGCATGAGAAATGGCAAATAAACACCATAATTACATATCTGACATCATGCAAGAGGTTCCGAATAAGTGTCCGAGTGTTGAAACCCTAATGCATGAGAAATGGCAAATAAAGACCACAATTACATATTTGCCATCATGCAAGAGCGTCCGAATAAGGGTCCGAGTGTTTATGCCTTAATGCATGAGAAATGGCAGGTAAACACCATAATTACATATCTGCCATCATGCAAGAGGGTCCGAATAAGTGTCCGAGTGTTTAAACCCTAATGCATGAGAAATGGCAACTAAACACTCTAATTACATATCTTCCATCATGCAAGAGGGTCCGAATAAGTGTCCGAGTGTTTAAACACTAATGCATGAGAAATGGCAAATAAACACCATAATTACATATCTGCCGTCATGTAGGAGGGTTCGAATTAGTGTCCGAGTGTTTTGAGCCCTAATGCATTAGGAATGGCAAGTAAACCCCATAATTACACATCTGCCATCGTGCAGGAGGGTCTGAATAAGTGTCCGAATGTTTAAACCCTAATGCATGGGAAATGGCAAGTAAACACCATAATTACATATCTGCCATCACTACAAGAAATTGCATTTTTCGCAACGCAACAAAATATGTTGCTAAAAGGGAAAATTCGTTGGCAAAGAGTTTTGCCGACACACAAAGTTACGTTGGCAACCCGTAGGCAAAAGTGAGTTGGCATAAGTTTTTGCCGACGAAATTATCATTGCGTTGGTAAAAGTAATGCCTTTAGCGACGAACATAGTCGTCGATAAAAGCCTTCATCCATCGTCGGCAATTTACCTTGCGTTGGTAAAAGTCATTCAAATATGATGATTGTGTGGCACTTTTCGCGACACAAATTTGCATGGGCAAAAAATATACTTTTACTAACAACATATGCGTCGGCAAAAGTAAACTTTTGGCGACACATATACGTCGGTAAATGTTGCCATTTGCCGACGATTTGTTTATCGCTAAAGCTTTACTTTTGGTAACGACAAATTGGTATTGGCAAAAAATACACTTCTACCAACACAATATGAGTGGGCAAAAGTAACTTTTAGTGACACATTTACCGAAAAATTGTTTGTCGAGAAAGCTTTACTTTTTGACAACGATAAATTTGCTCGATAAAAATAATTAAAAATCATTTATATTTTTTATAAGATTTACAAATTTACAAAAGGCATCTCTCAGACACAATAGTTTATAAGATACAATTTGAAATAACATAAACCCAACCTCAGCTTTCAGAATTGGCCAACTTTATAACTCATCAGTTGATGAATGTGTGGGTTTGCACCAGTTGACTTTAAGACTCATCCAACAATATACAATAGATGAAGCTACTCAAGTTTTCCATTTGTCTAAATATTCTTATCAAGGAGCTCATTAAGAGATTAACATATGCAAACAGAGTTCTATTATTAGGTGATGCTCCGAGACACAGCCCTTGTTGATGTTGTTGAATCTTGCTTTCAGTACAGCCCAAATTTGGTCCGGTAAAATTCGCCATAAGATCTCCAACTGCAGGCGTTCTCATCTCCTCGATGGATGCCAAGCTAAGCACTGCTATTATCTTCAACTTCGGAGTTGTACTAGTATGCTGATCAACCTGTGCAAAATTACACTATTTAATAAACTCTCTGTTCCCAAGAAAAATAAATAAACTCAGTTGGAACAATCTAACTACCAATTTTGGTCTTTGTGTGCTTTCATCAGTCCAGTGATTTCAAGAGTGTAATGTAATGTAGCTCAAGGTTTTAAAAGGGGCAAGGCAAGTTCAAGATTTGTCAAAACATGAAACTTTTTTAGGTCTCGTCAATCCAGTATATACAGTACCAATTGATGTGCCTAATTGATGTATAATATTCAAATAGACGACATATAATAAATATATAAAATTATGCATGCATTTTTTGAAAATTGCATGTTCGTGCTTCTTAGCCTAAAAACCATTTTCTCAAAAATCCTAGAATAAAATTAAGTAATGTCTAGCTACTTTTTAACACCCCGAGACATAAGAATATTTTCCTGATAATCTTATTCTAACATTAAGAAAGATATATCAAGCAAGCAAGCAAGCCTACCAAATAATCTTTCGTCAGAAACTGCTCCGCTTGGTTTCTGATATTTGTTATGCTTTCAGTATGATTCTAACTAACACACTTAAGCTGATTCAAGCACAAGATAGACATGGAGTCTATCTCTTCCTTGGTTTCCTGGTCCAGCATCAGCGAATTTGCAAGTTCATAATATTTCCCACTTGAGTTCATTGTTTGATAAATAGAGGGGAAAAAAATTAAAATTTCATATATAGGGATTTAATTAACCTTAACAGCTGCCTGTGTGTCACGGGCTTTAGCTTCGTATTCTGCATTAATGGATGAGGATCTAGAGACAAATTCTTCATATACACCATGGCTCGCACAAATTTTTGCCCTGTTCAGGGAGAGAAAGAACATGATATGAAAACCAAAAACAGTTTAAAAAATAAAATAAATAAAAGGTTACTAGAAAATCTGAAAAACGAGGGAACAGAAGACTTACTTTACAGTAGATTCAATCTCTGCAATACTAGTCTTGTTGAGATGGTTGACAGATAACTCTGCCTTTTCCCACTGCTACCTAGAGTAATTGACCGTATTTGTACTGCAAATTCAAAGGAAGACAAAATTACTTGGCAGAACTAGTAAATGCACTCAAATGTAATTAATAACTTGCAACTTTAGTCCAAAGCTATGCAATACTCAAGGTGCTAGAACTACTTTGCTTCTTTTTTTTAAAAAAAATAAAAAATCTATCCATCTGTAATGTAATTTGACTTGTTTTCAAATGCTTTAATTAGTTGTGCATTCCATCAGAAGTTTAAATCTTGTATAGAGCCACGTATGAAGATATTCAAGAGTAACAAAAATAAAACAGATACTCAAATTACAATAGACATGGTTTGATTTTTCCTATGAGGCAAACTTTATGGGACAAGGTCCGGATCTAGGATTTGGGGTGGGATTTGTGGAGGGAAAAGGAAAGGGAAATGTGATAAAAATGTAGCTTCTATTTCATTCATTTTTCCCATACTTTTTTTTTAATCTCTCTCACTCTCTGCAAATCCCTCTTCAAAGCCTTGATCCAAACACAACCTTACGTAATTTAGCGAAGTTTGCTTCTCTTTACAAAATTACAGAAAAAACACACAAGATTTGTTCACATCCTTAATTAGTTTCCTTGGACAGCCAGATGACTATACACTTGTGCTTTGTTTTTCAATACCCAAATTAAAGTGATAGAACTTCAGTTCCTTTGATCATGTCAAGTTTATATAATAATAGTCACTATATCCTAGCATATTTAAATTAACTTGTGCAGTAAACCAATTTTTGAAATAAACATTAACGTATTTTTAATTTGTAACATCTATAAAATTAAGTTCAAAAGAACTATTCAATGAATTTATTAGCTATCATGCTGAGTTGGAATAAAAACATAACAAAAATAAAAGGCACTTCCCAAACCAAAAAAAATGATGTTCTGATAGATGCTAACAATTAGATTCCATAATAAAAAAAGACATGGGTGCACGTCTAACTACCATAAATGCTTTAATAGCTTTTTAATTTTTGAAGGGCTTTGATTGTTTTTAGCATTGCTTTTTACCTGAAATAAAAAGTATTTCCCAAAAAATAAAAAAATACCTGATAGGCATTCTATTAATGCACTCCAAACTTAAATAGGTTCTTTTCCCACCTATTCTCAACAACCAAACAGAGCAATAATGAAATTGATTTCTTCTCTAGATTTAGATTTCATAGTAACCTGTTACCAAACACAGTTCAAGACCTAGCAACAAGAACCCCTTGGTATCCCCCATTTAGCTACCTTGGTATCCTCTAGTTAAGTAATCAAATCATAGAAAATCAAATAGTTGAACCAATAGAGATTTAATCTTTCTTTTTCTTGGAGTAAGAAGTTTCAAACATTATAATACTTCATAATAATGCAAAACCCTTTTTTCTATATTTAATTTCATGCACCCTATTTACCACCAAAAAAAAAAGGCCCCAAAATCCTTTCCTCATTTTCTCTTATTTTTTCTAGATCCACATATTAAATAGGTACTTAGATAGGATACTTTGAATGTACTCAGATCCGAATAAATTATGTTCACACCTAAACACACAACTTAAATTTGGTTGGTCATATATGACCAGTTTAATATATAACAGCATTTCCTATATAATAATACCATGAACTACCATATATTCCAACTTTATGATTAGATGAGAATGACATTTAAATCACAAATTGAAAGAGCTCTCTATCTTGTTGAACTCTATTGGGCATATCCCAAAGGTGCTTCACCAAACAACAAAATCAAGAGGAAATTAACATAGAAAAGTAAAAATGTTGTCTTTATGCTAATAATGAGATTAAGAGTTTTTAACTAATGCCACAAATGATTTGCATATAACAGTTAATGAAAGGCATTGCAGAAACATATGCATGATTTCATCATATGAACTGCAAAGATACTAACCTTTTGGAATTGATATTCATAAAAACTAGCACTATTTTGACTGAGTTCTTCCAATCTTCTTTCTAACTCTTCAATTTTATCCTCAAGATCTTTCTCCTTCTCTAAAAGTGAATTTGCCGAGGTTTCGAGTGCAGCTTCCTTCAGCTTTATCTGACCCTGGTTATGAAAAAAAATCTCTCATTGTCATTACAGTGCATTACATAGCATTACATTTCTGCTGATGTTGTCGTGATTAATATATCAAGCAAATAATTCCACGAGGGCTAAACATATATAATCATATTTTGAATGAATATAAAAATGATAGAGCTAGTGACAAAAAGATTGTCCACCTTTGTTAATATACTACGTTAAGTTACAATTTTACCTTGAGTTGTTTTATTTTGTCCTTTAGATTTGCAGTCTATGCCAGAAACTGAGTACTTGGCAGCCTTCATGGATGGACTCTGGCTGCCATTGGTCTCAGCATAGCGTTCCAAACTAGTGACTTCTGTGTCTATCCTTGAGTCTGAGACAATGTTTCTATTTGATCGCATAGAAATATCGTCTTCCAGGTAACTTGAATTCCTTGTTTCACAACTGATCTCACTGGATTGGTCGTCAATTTGCTGTAAGTTTGTAGATTTTGGTCTACATTTCCCACCTGGGGAACTTGACTCTGGTTTTTTCTTGTTGGGTTGCCTTCTTGACTTGCTGGAATCAGGAGAGGTGGGCGGGCGAGATCACTTCTCCAACTCAAGCTTTTTCTGTTGCAATCTCGGGCTCACAGATCCTGCGCTCTTGACTGAGCTTACAGCAATCTCGGGCTCACAGATCCTAGATTCCAGTATCTGAGTGGCCTGAGAGAAAACGATGTAAGATTAACAAAATTAACTGACAAGTTTAACATATGAAAGAGACATCAACTTTCAGTTCATACGTCATATCTACTAGCAATAAATGAAGAGACGTGTTCCTCCATGCATCTCAATTGTTGCTGCTATTGAGAAACTGACCCCGAGATGGTCTTGTGCAAGTCTTTTAAGCTCTAATCAAGCTGTGAACCAAAATTCAGAAGCAGCCCTTGGTTTTCTGCTTCTAATTTATTTTTCTGATCTATAGATCTTTTAATTTTAGTGAATGCCTGAAAGCAATGCAGCTAAAGCACAAGAAAGAAGCATATTAACGCATTTAAGCAAATACAAGTTCGAAAAATTTGTGCTTAGAAGTTATGCTAGAAATTGAACCATGAAATGTGATTAGAACATCCTAGGATAGGGTATTTGTTCATCGATGTCATGACCTTGTGATCTCCAAAACAACAAAGCAATGTTACAATATTCTAATTTCATTTCAAGCCATTTCTTGTTTACCATGGCTTTATTACCCCTCACAGACTGGCATGGCAGAAAACAAAAAACAGAATATGTAATTTTTCCTTGTTTTTCAATTGCCTCACTTTCCTATGAAATTTGATTTGCCTGTTTTTGTTAAATAACATTGATGGAAAATTGGTATTTTAATCATCAAACTCAACAAAAAAATGACATTTTAAATATTTTATGTACACCTACATTGAGTTTAATGACTAAAATAGGTGGATGATTTAGACTGAAAATAAATCAAAATATTATGGTTTAAATTGATAAAATTAAAAATTCAATGTTTATTTTGATTTTGTCACCAGAGTCAAACCTTCAGTTTTTCTTTTTTTCAATTTTTTTTTTTGAATTTCCCCAAAAAACAAATGAATTCCATAAATTGGGCTGAATAAGAACTAGATAATATTTTAGGAGTTACATAAATTCTACAAGAAATGCATGAATATTGTGATTAGTAGAAACAAAACAATAGAATTGAAGGACCAAATCACAAGTGATTCCAACTTACAATCTGGGTAAAATGTTTCCAGCATGCTGGACGAGTTCATAGAGGTCAGAGACCGTACAACCATGTTTATCTTCCTCTTTAAAGAAGATTTCAAGTCTTCTCAATTCATCAAAGGCTTACATATCTGGCACATCACAATAGTAAACAAATAATCAATTGAATTTCGACACAGAAAAAAAAAATCAATCATCGACGATGATTAAAGGCTATATATACAGAGTTCAAAGTGTTCGTGTGGAGATAGTCTAGATGTTCAGAGCTCAGACAACATTTGCACCGAATATTATAGGGCTTCTCTAAGATTGTTGGAGTCCTGATGAACACACGAATTGGAGAATTAGGGTTTTGAATATGAAAGAATTGATTGAAGAAATATTGACTGATAGGTCTGATGAATTACCAATGCGCGATGCATATAGAAAGCAATTGTGTTGAATCCTTGCGATGCCTTCGGTCAACCATTTGTCCTCGTCTTCGATTCCATTCGCGATCATTCTCTCTTTCCTATGAATTGTGAGAGAAGGGTGTGCAAGAGTGAAAATCGTGGAGATTGATGAGGGGAGATCTGATGAGGGGATTTACCTATCCTGGAAAGAAAATAGGGAATTTTGAGAGGGAAATTTCACCGCCTCAGAGGCAGATCACCAAAAAACCAAACAAAAAAAAAAAAACAAACCAAAATAATTTTTATATTTGTTTTTTTTGAAAAAATTAAAATTAATTTGAGAGCAACATAAATCGAAAATATCTTTTTAGAATTTTAAAAATTATTTATGACTTAAAAGATAAAATTATACAAAAATAATAAGTATTTTTTAATTTTTCACCCAATTTTTCTTTAGTTTTTTAGAAAAAAAATAAATTTTGAAACTAATTTCTGAAAATAAAACCAAACATATTGAAATTGATAATCTAACCATATTATTTGGAAGAGTTTAAATTATCTCAAATTAGCATTCTGAACTTAAGAGTGTGTTTGGACTTGATGAGTTCATTTTGTGATCTAGTTCAATGATCACTTTAATTTTATAATTCAATAACTAGAATATTAAAAACTTTCAAAAGTTATAATAAAAACACAAATTAAATCACCTCGTTTCACTAACTAAACTTTTACCAACGAATAGTGTTATTGTCGCTAAATGTTTAACTCTTTGCCTACGCCAACTTGTCGTAAGCATACTAATAGCAACGCTCATTGTGTTGCTAAAAAATAAGACTTGTACCTAAAATTTATGAAATTTTGGCGCCAACCAATATTTTTGGCGCCTAGTCAATGTTATGTTTTTTTAGCGACGATAGTAAATTGCGTTGGTAAAGGTCTACTTTTCCCAACGAAATTGATCACTGTGTCGCCAAAAATATACTTTTGGCTACGAAAAATTGACGTTGTCGCCAAAAGTAGTCGCCAAAGTGCAATTTCCTGTAGTGCATCATGCAAGAGGGTCCGAATAAGTGTCCGTGTGTTTAAACCCTAATGCATTAGAAATGGCAAATAAACGCCATAATTACATATCTGCCATCATGTAAGAGGGTCCGAAAAAGTGTCCGAGTGTTTAAACCCTAATGCATGAGAAATGGCAAATAAAAACCATAATTACATATCTGCCATCATGCAAAAGGGTCCGAATAAGTGTCGTAGTGTTTAAACCCTAATGCATGAGAAATGGCAAGTAAACACCACAATTACATATTTGCCATCATGCAAGAGGGTCCGATTAAGTGTCCGAGTGTTTAAGCCTTAATGCATGAGAAATGGCAACTAAACACCATAATTACATATTTGCCATCATGCAAAAGGGTCCGAACAAATGTCCGAGTGATAAAACCCTAATGCATGAGAAATGGCAAATAAACACCATAATTACATATTTGCCATCATGCAAGAGGGTCCGAATAAGGGTCCGAGTATTTAAGCCTTAATGCATGAGAAATGGCAAGTAGACACCATAATTACATGTCTGCCATCATGCAAGAGGGACCGAATAAGTGTCCGTGTATTTGAGCCTTAATGCATGAGAAATGGCAAGTAAACACCGTAATTACATGTCTGCCATCGTGCAAGAGGGACCGAATAAGTGTCCGAGTTTTTAAACCCTAATGCATGAGAAATGGCAAATAAACACCATAATTACATATCTGACATCATGCAAGAGGTTCCGAATAAGAGTCCGAGTGTTTAAACCCTATTGCATGAGAAATGTCAAGTAAACACCATAATTACATGTCTGCCATCATGGAAGAGGGACCGAATAAGTGTCCGAGTATTTAAGCCTTAATGCAAGAGAAATGACAAGTAAACACCATAATTACATGTCTGCCATCATGCAAGAGGGACCGAATAAGTGTCTGAGTTTTTAAACCCTAATGCCCGAGAAATGGCAAGTAAACACCATAATTACATATGTGCCATCATGCAAGAGGGTCCGAATAAGTTTTCGAGTGTTTAAACCCTAATGCATGAGAAATGGCAACTAAACACCCTAATTACATATCTGCCATCATGCAAGAGGGTCCGAATAACTGTCCGAGTGTTCAAACACTAATGCCTGAGAAATGGCAAATAAACACCATAATTACATATCTGCCGTCATGTAGGAGGGTCCGAATATGTGTCCGAGTGTTTTGAGCCCTAATGCATTAGGAATGGCAAGTAAACCCCATAATTACACATCTGCCATCATGCAGGAGGGTCTGAATAAGTGTCTGAGTGTTTAAGCCTTAATGCATGAGAAATGGCAAGTAAACACCATAATTACATATCTGCCATCATACAAGAGGATCCGAATATGTGCCCAAGTATTTAAACCCTAATGCATGTGAAATGGCAAATAAGCACCATAATTACATATCTGCCATCATACAAGAGGTTCTGAATAAGTGTCCGAGTGTTTAAGCCTTAATGCATGAGAAATGACAAGTAAACACCATAATTACATATCTGCCATCATGCAAGAGGGTTCGAATAAGTGTCCTAGTATTTAACCCGTAATGCAGGAGAAATGGCAAGTAAACACCATAATTACATATCTGCCATCATGCAAAAGGGTCCGAATAAGTGTCCGAATGTTTAAACCCTAATGCGTGGGAAATGGCAAGTAAACACCATAATTACATATCGGCCATCATGCAAGAGGGTCCGAATAAGTGTCCGTGTGTTTAAACCCTAATGCATTAGAAATGGCAAATAAACACCATAATTACATATCTGCCATCATGTAAGACGGCCCGAATAAGTGTCCGAGTGTTTAAACCCTAATGCATGAGAAATGGCAAATAAACACCATAATTACATATCTGCCATCGTGCAAAAGGGTCCGAATAAGTGTCTTAGTGTTTAAACCCTAATGCATGAGAAATGGCAAGTAAACACCACAATTACATATTTGCCATCATGCAAGAGGGTCCGATTAACTGTCCGAGTGTTTAAGCCTTAATGCTTGAAAAATGGCAAGTAAACACCATAATTACATATCTGCCATCATGCAAGAGGGTCCGAATAAGTGTCCGAGTATTTAAACCCTAATGCATGAGAAATGGCAAGTAAACACCATAATTACATATCTGCTATTATGGAAAAGGGTTCGAATAAGTTTCCGAGTGTTTAAACCCTAATGCATGAGAAATGGCAAATAAACACCATAATTACATATCTGCCATTATGGAAAAGGGTTCGAATAAGTGTCCGAGTGTTTAAACCCTAATGCATGAGAAATGGCAAATAAACGCCATAATTTCATATCTGCCGTCATGTAAGAGGGTCCGAATAAGTGCCCGAGTCTTTAAACCCCAATGCATTAGAAATGGCAAGTAAACATCATAATTACATATTTGCCATCATGCAAGAGAGTCCGAACAAGTGTCCGAGTGTTGAAACCCTAATGCATGAGAAATGGAAAATAGACACCATAATTACATATCTGCCATAATGCAAGAGGTTCCGAATAAGTGTCCGAGTGTTTAAACCCTAATGCATGAGAAATGGCAAATAAACACCATAATTACATATCTTCCATCATGCAAGAGGTTCTGAATAAGTGTCCGAGTGTTTAAGCCTTAATGCATGAGAAATGGCAAGTAAACAACATAATTACATATATGCCGTCATGCAAGAGGGTCTGAATAAGTGTCCTAGTATTTAACCCGTAATGCATGAGAAATGGCAAGTAAACACCATAATTACATATCTGCCATCATGCAAGAGGGTCCGAATAAGTCTCCTTGTGTTTATACCCTAATGCATGGGAAGTGGCAAATAAACACCATAATTACATATTTGCCATCATGCAAGAGGGTCTGAATAAGTGTCCGAGTGTTTAAGCCTTAATGCATGAAAAATGGCAAGTAAACACCATAATTACATGTCTGCCATCATGGAAGAGGGACCGAATAAGTGTCCGAGTATTTAAGCCTTAATGCAAGAGAAATGACAAGTAAACACCATAATTACGTGTCTGCCATCATGCAAGAGGGACCGAATAAGTGTCCGAGTATTTAAACCCGAATGCAAGAGAAATAGCAAATAAATACCATAATTACCTATCTGCCATCATGCAAGACGTTCCGAATAAGTGTCCGAGTGTTTAAACCCTAATGCCTGAGAAATGGCAAATAAACGCCATAATTTCATATTGGCCATCACGTAATAGGGTCCGAATAAGTGTCCGAGTGTTTAAACCCTAATGCTTTAGAAATGGCAAGTAAATATCACAATTACATATTTGCCATCACACAAAAGGGTCCGAACAAGTGTCCGAGTGTAGAAACCATAATGCATGAGAAATGGCAAAAAAACACCATAATTACATATCTGCCATCATGCAAAAGGGTCCGAATAAGTGTCCGAATGTTTAAACCCTAATGCGTGGGAAATGGCAAGTAAACACCATAATTACATATCTGCCATCATGCAAGAGGGTCCGAATAAGTGTCTGTGTGTTTAAACCCTAATGCATTCGAAATGGCAAATAAACACCATAATTACATATCTGCCATCATGTAAGAGGGCCCGAATAAGTGTCCGAGTGTTTAAACCCAAATGCAAGAGAAATGGCAAATAAACACCATAATTACATATCTGCCATAGTGCAAAAGGGTCCAAATAAGTGTCTTAGTGTCTAAACCCTAATGCATGAGAAATGGCAAGTAAACACCACAATTACATATTTGCTATCATGCAAGAGGGTCCGATTAAGTGTCCGAGTGTTTAAGCCTTAATGCATGAGAAATGGCAAGTAAACACCATAATTACATATCTGCCATCATGCAAGAGGGTCCGAATAAGTGTTCGAGTATTTAAACCCTAATGCATGAGAAATGGCAAGTAAACACCATAATTACATATATGGCATCAGGCATAAGGGTTCGAATAAGTGTCCGAGTGTTTAAACCCTAATGCATGAGAAATGGCAAATAAACGCCATAATTTCATATCTGCCGTCATGTAAGAGGGTCCGAATAAGTGCCCGAGTGTTTAAACCCCAATGCATTAGAAATGGCAAGTAAACATCATAATTACATATTTGCCATCATGCAAGAGAGTCCGAACAAGTGTCCGAGTGTTGAAACCCTAATGCATGAGAAATGGAAAATAGACACCATAATTACATATCTGCCATAATGCAAGAGGTTCTGAATAAGTGTCCGAGTGTTTAAACCC